CTATAATCCCTTTGTTGCCGACGTGACGTAATTCCTTCTGTCTTTTTTACAAATATTTTTATGGCAACTGTTCTGATAAGCTTTTTTTCTCCCGGTGCTCCGAATACATTAATTTTCAGCGTGCTACTAGATTGGCATTTAGGTCCCACCTGTTTACTGTTTAATAGCTAAATGCAACCGCCATTTCTACTCAAACAGTTTCTTTTCTCGCACTTCCCTTTCCTGGGGGACTCCCTTCCGTTTACTTGCTTCCCTGATAACTACAATCATAAAAAAATTAAATGAAACATCAATCGACATTTTCTGTCTTTTTGAATCTCGTTCATGTTTTGTCCTTTTCTCAATCCTCCCTATACTTAATATTTTCTTTCGCTTTCACTCCCTGTAAACCCCTACGTACTAGTGGCATTCTCGCTTTGCTTGGTGAAATGATTAAAAAAAAAAAAAAAAGTTTAAAGTTAACTACATAAAATCAACAGAAAATATAAATCTAAAAAAAGTGATACCTAAGTTTTAAAATCCATTTTAAAAAAGTAAGATCTTTCTTGAAGCTTATATTTTAGTTTTAAATTCAAGCTAATAGATTAGATTTAATATTTTTGATAATCAAAGTAGTGTTCTCTATTTTAATAAATAAATAGATTGGAATTATTCTCTTTTCAGTAAAATCAATAAAGCCGCCCAAATCGGCTAACAAAACGTAATTCTCTTTATTAGTTTGTTTGTTAGTTTTTTCAAAAATAAAAAATACTTTTCTGAAAAGTTATTTCTAAAATTTTAGCTGATTTATATTTTAATTAACCTGAATTTAAAAAAAAATATTATTTACTTTTAGTTTAGTGGCAGTTTTTATTAGTTGTTGACATGTTTATCGACAGCCTGAAGTTCGGCTAATTTACGTAAGGACGAGTTGTAACACCCTATTTATCATCTCTCGGCTTCGTCTTTGGACAGAGTGCGCTCATGGGCGGCTCCGTCAGAGACGCAACTGAAGAAAATAATACTAAGAGGTGCTCAGCTTTGGGGAACATCTGCCCGAGGGCGCGCCCTCTCATTGCACTAGAGAAAAGGATCGGTGAGGGGTCTCGGGTAATTTTTGTTCCTAGACGCGCACGGACTCCCCACATTAAAATGTCCTTGTGTCATAAGCTGACCTGGTGGTGGGGGAGTAAATACAATTTATGTAAGGGCGAATTAACTGCAATATAATTATGACGAATGCAAATTAAATGCCTTCACACACACACACACTATATATATATATATATATATATATATATATATATATATATATATATATAAAACAACCAAATGACACTAAAATTTTAAAATATTTTAACCATTTTAATACTTTGATGAATGTTAGTTACTTAGGCTTTATATTCTTACTTACGAAGACGCTTATTAAGAAAATGTTAGTAAAATTGCAATAAATTTTAAATTTGCTGTAGTTACCGCACTTATTTTTTGAGAATGTCGTGTATGGACATCCGTATTTACAAACATCAGCACGTTTTTACACATACAAAATAAATTAAAAATGATTTTTAAAATATTCGAGATCGCTGAATTGTAATAAACTTTTTCCGATTATGATACAGTTTTACTAAATATAGCTTTATTTTTTTTTAATCATTTCATTCCAAGCAAGGCAATAACGCCACTAAGACTCGAGAAATTTACTGAATGTGCTAGAATATGAGAAAAACACTATTAAAGAAAGAGAACTTAAACTAAGCCGGATATTGACTGCTTGACGACCCAAGGCAGAATGCTAAAACGCGTCTCTGCGCATCATGGCTAGACGCATGTTTTCGGTATCAAATGATAAAATGAACTTTATATATTCACCAGTAGAAATAACTCCTACTGTAAATCTTTTTCGTTTGTTTGATTGTTCTTCGTTCGTTGAAATACTCAGTAGATTTTTGCCAGAGAGAAGCAATGATAACAACAAAGATGCAATATGAACTCTGGTAAAAACATTTAATGATAACATCAGAATTGCAATATAATCACTGGTAAAAATGGTTGCTGAAGACATTAGGTTTATAATACCCAGAAATTCATAACCAGATGTCCTCAAGGACACATGGCACAGGCGTTGGTTAGATCCAGTGACAGTGTGTGAGTTCAATACCCGGTTAAGGCAGTGGAGAACATTCAGAGGGAAAAGGAAATAAATGATATCCATTAAAACATGGCACGTGGAACTAGAACAGTCTACCGAGCGAAATAAAGGGTTTAGTTCGACATTCCAACCACCTGAAGAAGACCGGAGCATACAACGGCCGAAACATTGTGATAACTATGGCGACAAAGATGAGGACAATAGTTCGAATAATGTACATAATACCTTATCTCAGAAATATACACAGATACAGATTTTGCTCTGTCTTAATTTCATTTTTTATATTCTTTTCTTAATTATCCCACTTCTAAAAGAGATATTTTTATTTGATAAGTGTTTTTATTTTGGCAGATATGTCAAGTAAAATTGCTCATTCTTAATTGTAAATATTATATACATCACCGAGAGAAATTGAAACATACTTAAATGCCAGGAATCGAATTCGAACAGCACACATGTTAAAAGGGTATAGCAATTTTGAAGTATTCCCTGACTTATGTCATTTTTTTTAAAGTGTTGCTATATCCATATTATTTCGGGAAAGAATAAAATAATTTTTCGCTATAGAATTGAAATGAACATGACAAATATTAATTAATTTACATCTGCTAGACAAAGTAGCAATTTTTATTATTTTATGAAAAGGTCCTATTATAAAATATCTTCATTACAAAAACCAAATTCAACATATAAAATAGATGAAAGAGTATTTTGTTAGCTGTAGTTGAACTTTTTAAATGCTACGAAATGCCAAAAATTATGTGTGATTTTTAATTAGTTCTCAAAATACAGTTTCAGATTCATACAGGAAAAAAACTTTGGTACGGACAACGTTTAAATTTTGAGTATGTATTATCTCATTCAGAATCAAAGCTCAAGAAATATGCAATTTAAAATTTTATTCACCAAAATTACCCAAGAATAGTCGGAAAAAATCGACTGAGATGGCCTGACAGAATAAAACCCTACTGAGACATGTTTTGTAGACCGTTTTATGCACAAAGGAAGAGGAAACATGCATAGAAAAGTATGAATAAAAATCAGATCAAATGTTATAGATGTGAAAACAGCCGATACCATACCAGAACACAATGGCCCATCCTCGCCATGACCAATATTCTCTTTCTTTCTTTCTTTCTTTCTCACTCTGTCGCCTTTTACAAGAGCAACGAGCAGTATGATGACTTTGCATATATGTAAATAAATTATACATTTATTTACCTAAAATACGACGTATTCCTTTTTCCTTGAATGTGTAGCGGACACTCCGTGCGGCCCCGTATCACAGAAAGGGGTGAACGAGGTCACAAGAGGCCCGCTGACATTTTTGAAGACGTTAAATCTGACGGTGAAACAATATAGACGACAGAACGAGGATATGATAAATGCTAATTTATTCAGGGAAAGAAAAAGGAAATAAAGATGGTCGGAACGGTGGAGGTGCAGAAGTTTTAGTGCAGGCATTGATGGTCGAGGTTGGTGTTGGTAGTTTCTAGGATCATTGTTGTTGGGGGTTGAAGCTGATGTGGTTTGTTGCCAGGATGATCGCTTGGTGGTTGCTGTAGTTGATGTTGGTTGATGCCAGGATGATCGTTGTTGGTTGTTGAAGCTGAGTCGTTGCCGGGGTGCCAACATGTTGCTGTAGTTCGTGTTGCCAACTTGTTGTTTGTCATTGCCGGGAAGCCAAATTGACGTGTTGGGAAGGAGAGAGAGAGAGAGAGAGAGAGAGAGAGAGAGAGAGAGAGAGTCGATAGACAAAAAAATGGGAGCGTAACTTAATACACAGCCCGTTGATCGGCGTCCTTGGCCAATGAAGGCCAAGGGGACTGCGTAGCCGACCGTTTCGGTCGCCGACCGCCTCCCAGAATCTAGCGAGAAATCACTGTCTTGTGACAAGGGAGACCAGCAAGAGAAATTGGCTAAGCTAACCGAAATGTCTCTATAATAAAATACTACGACTGACTAGTAGTATATTACAACTAGGTTTGTAATATAGCCTAACTAAAAAGGGGATTTGCTAGTCTCTCCGACGTGTTAACAGTGTGTAAGGAGCATGAATGAGAGGTCAAGGTCGAAATGACCTGTTCCTCTGCCGGTTCAAGGATAGAAGGAGGAGGTAACTCCGACAAATTTACGTTTGCTGAGACAAAGAAGAAATTAACCTCTTCAGCAGAAACAACAATAGCGACAAGTTCTGCCTTCCAGGATACTCATTCTTCGTTTCCACAACAGAAGTATAAAAGAACAAGAATTAACAAAACAAAACAAAAGATAAAGATTGACATTGCATTTAATTTTTTCGAACAACGAATTTGACTGAAAAGTAAGAAACCGGGAGAGAGTTCCACAATCGAAATGTGCAATGATAAACAGTTAGCATCGAACTTACAATAGCATCAAGCATTTTCAATTGTAAAATGATGAAATCTTGCCGCCAGTTTAATACAATTTAATTATATCACTTGACCCTAAACATTAATACAGAATTTGAATAATTAATTTTTCGAAAAAAAATGATAAAATTTCTTGTAAACATTCATTATTCATCGAAATATTTTTTTCATACGATAATAATGTTCATAATATAACTTATTCATAAATTAATTAAAATATTTTCTAATTAAATAATGTATTACTTCGATAATATGTGAAGATTTAAATTCTCCGAGCACTTGTCCTCATGACTAATATAAATATTTAAACCCCACAGAAAAGAATTTCTCCAGTACATGCAGAAAGACAGAGACAGAAAGAAAGAAAGAAAGAAAGAAAGAAACAGATACAGTGACAAACAGGGGGGGGGGAAGAGAACTCTCTCTTTTCAAATCCGAATCATTATCCATTACACCACCTACGCATCCAAAGTTATAGCACCTGGTATTAACACACGGTCACCCATCTAAGTACTGACCAGGCTCAACGGTGCTTTACTTCGGTGATCGTAAAAAAGAATCGGTATTTCAACGGTATATATCCGTAAGTCCTGAGAGGAGGAGAAACAAATTGAGAGAAAGGAAGAGAAAGAGATAGATAGATTTTTAAAGTTTATAAACTTATTTTTCTTGTTTTAACAAACGCTGTCTACAGAAATAGCATGGAACTGCATGGGAGAGAACTTCGCCAAGTGAAATGTTGTAAGGGAAATAACTCTGTTAACGTTGATTTCGGTATGGCGTCTCGTGGTCTTATCACACAGACCAATCTTGCTACATAAGAAAATTCAAATTTCATTCGTTATTCGCAACTTATGGTCATATCAAGTTTTTTTTTAATATCTAAATATCTTAACAGCTTTAAGCAAAATTAATAATAAAATTCTGGCTATTTCTTATGAATTAAATTTTAAATTTAATTGAAAAGAAAAAATAATCAGGTGATACAAAACAAAATTATTTACCTTTTCCTTTGCAAGAAATTAATTTATGACAAAAGATATAATTAAGCAATATATGCATTCTGTTGTTGACGCTTGCTTAAAACATTGCTCTCTGAAAACAGTTTCTACAGATATAATTTTTCGCGTTGTTTTAATATTATTTTTTGTTATATCATATTTCCTCCGAAAAGGGAATTGTCCAGGAGTCTTGAACAATTTTTCTACGACATTGGCGATAAGATCACATTGAACATTGAACATTGTGTCATATTCAGTTGTGGTTGCACAGTCCCCTCACCATTTACTGCTAGATCATAAGATTACAATAATTTCCAATTAACTAATAATTGGTAGTATTAATTGGTCTACACTTCTCACTAACATTGAAGAGAGACTAAGATGGCGAGAAAGCTGACGATTATGTAAGGTAGCTTAAAGTTCCAGAAAAGTCATTATTTACCTGACGAAGTAAAATACTTTGGCCATAGGGACTATTCTCCTCATCTTTGTGGTTGTTATTACAACTTTTCGGACTTTTTTCCTTATGGACTTCATCAGTTTTATGTCGATCCGGGTAACCAACAGGAAATTCCGAACTGAACTCTTTACTAGATGCTTTCGTACTAATGTGTGTGTTCCCCCAGGGCTCCATATTTTGTTCTTCGTTGTTTTTAATTTTCATTAATGACCTTCTCGACGTCATCAGCTCTAAACTTGATATTTATGCTGATGACACAACCATTTAGTCCTGTCTCGATAGTAAGGTTGATCAGTTCGATAAGGTGAAAATGACAGCTGTTGTCCAAAACGAATTCAAGTCCTTTGTTAACTGGGGCAAAAGTTAGCTCGTTAATTTTAACGCCTCAAAAACTAAACTTCTCTCTATTAATAATCTAAGAGACTCCTCCCTGCTTTCCATCAGCGTGGCTGATGCTAACCCCCCAGGAAAGTGACTCGTTGCTAATGTTCTCAGACGACATGACGTTGAAAGACTATATTGAATCCTTTCCTATGTCAGCTGCTAAGAAAGTAAGCTCGTTACTGTGTTGTGCTAGACAATTTTTCTTTCCGGAATCTATCTTACATATCTATAAGTCTACCATTCATCAATTCTTAGAATATTGTTGCCACATATTGTCTGGTGCCCCTGCAATTTACCTTATGCTACTTGATAAATTTCATAGTAAAATCAGCAATATTATCGGTCATGGTCTGGTAGCTCGGCTTCAGTCACTTTCCTACCTCCATAAGTTTGCCTCCCTGTATCATTTCTATAAATACTTTAATGGTAATGGTTCGGTGAGCTCTTCTCTACGGTACCTAGACACTTTTAAAAATTTAAATGGCGTAGTAGTCAGGCGTTAACATCAATTTACAGTTGAGATGGATAGATATAACCGTAAATTCTATGCTAATAGTTTCCTTGCTCGCACACCACACACACAGTAATCCCTTGTATCTTAGTGTCTTTATTGCCTTGCTTGGGGTGAAATCGGTTTTCAAAAAAATCTACCGAGATAGATTGTTCTCGTTCCATTACCCATGGCGAGAAAATGCCCGTCTAGTTCTTAATTTTTTAGAATTGTTTAGCTATTTTTGCCCCGTTTTCACTGAGTCCAATACATATTACCCGCTTCAGGGATTCCTCAAATTTCTCAATTATTTCACACATACACACTTCACGCACGTAACTACACCGAAAATTTTATATCTTGTCGAAAGATATTCATTAAGAATTTAAAAAGTGAATTCTTATAAGTTTTCTTACTTTCACAACAATATCCTAATTATTTCACACATACACGCACGTATGTGTGTGTGTGTGTGTGTGTGTGTGTGTGTGTGTGTGTGTGTGTGTGTGTGTGTGTGTAACATCAAAATTGTTCAAATCGTGAAACAGTAAAATTATCCATCCCACAAAATTTTACTATCTAAAAAATCTACTAAATTAATTGAGTTTATTTTTTCATGTTTTCAGAAAAGACGTTTAGCCACATTGACACCATTTGAATCTCTGAAAAAATCTTTGTGATATTCAGCTAGAAAGAAAGCAGGTTAAAATCGTTTTGTGTCAGACTCACCGTCTTCCCAACTGAGCAACGATGAGAGGAAAAAAAACATTCGGACCTTCAGAAGCATTAAGAGAATGGTGAATAAGTTTTTAAAAAGTGGTAAAAAAACCTGGATCAGGAGGTCAAAACAGGAAGAGGGATCATCATTTCAACAGAGTTAAAGATATCAATTAGAAAAGATCCAACTCAATTCATAAGATGTTTGGGAAGTGAGAGAGAAGTTTAAGCTATGACAGTCCAAAGAGCAGTGGGAAAATGAAATCGTACGTGAAACCCGTGAGGCACATTGTTGTTCCAGGACTGAAAGTTAGGTTAGAGGTTTTGCTCAAAGTAGAGTCCAATAGTGTTATAAAAACCTCGGCGAATTCCAGTGAGATATATTAATCATTTCTAAGATACAACGGTTCAGAGCTTAATCGAACAGTTGCTGTTACACTCGGTATATATATATATATATATATATATATATATATATATATATATATATATATATAAATATATAAAATCAAATCTTGCAAAATCGACTTAAACTTAATGTAAAAATATTCACAACTACTTAAATTCAATTAGACACAAGGTAAAATAACAGCATTAAACACTAAGCAGAGATTTATCAAATTAACTGCGAAATATGTCCTAAGAAATACACAGTTGAGACACCTAGGAAGTTAAATAAAATTATATGAACATAAAAAAAAAACGATCATTTACAAAAAAATGATCAATGCAATACTCATTTATAATATGGGTTTCCCACTTTGTCTGACAATGAATTTCTCTGAAGTCCCACCCAAGAGAAAATGTAGAAAAAAACTCAGAGAGGAAAAAAACTCAGTGGGAAAAAACTCACTAGAAAATATCAGTAAAAGAAAAAATCAATGAAAAAGCAGTATAAGAGAAAAATCCCCAACCATTAGATATCGCAATTTTTCTTGTGGAAAGTTGACACCAGATTAAGAAAAGCTATGAAACATGGATAAGTCTTAATTTCATCGTAAGTTTTCGACCAATCGCAAGGATAAAGTTCTGACATAAATAATATTTCTAGAATTTAATAAAAATATTCTAGTTTTAAAATGTTGCTTACTTCATGTAAACAATGTCACCATAAAAATAGCATTGCCTTTTTGGGTTTGTAAAACACATCTATTTTAAAAATCTTCTAAAAGTCATATTACAAACGGATGTAATTCAGTCTAAAACTGTCAACACGAATTAGCGCGGTTACCGTCAAATCTCATAGTATTTTAAATCACCTACCCCAATTGACTTTTAACTCTGAGCCATCCCTGTTGTAAAAAATACATTTTTAATATTCTTTTTAAATTAGATTTATATGTTTCGGTGTAGCTAAATCGAATAAAAATTACACAGTAATTATTTCCTATGAAATTGCATTTATGTTACGACTATATTTATTTTTAATAGTTTATGTATATCGAGTTTTCTAGCAAACCGGTAACGGCTATTGTGATTTTTGCGGACACCAGGTACGTTTATTTTTTTTATTTTTTTGTTTACTTTGTAGCCGTTTAAAAGTTTAACTTTAATTATAAGTGTTGTTGATTCCTCTTTGCGTGATAAAAATCTGTATTTTTATGCCTGTCGTGAAAGTAAGAAAAAACATAAAAATTCACTTTTAAAATTCTTTATGAATATTTTTCGACAATTGACACCAGATTAAGAAAAGCTATGAAACATGGATAAGTCTTAATTTCATCGTAAGTTTTCGACCAATCGCAAGGAAAAAGTTCTGACATAAATAATATTTCTAGAATTTAATAAGGATCGGAAATATTTTAGTTTTAAAATGTTGCTTACTTCATAAACAGTGTCACCATAAAAATAGCATTGCCTTTTTGGGTTTGTAAAACACATCTATTTTAAAAATCTTCTAAAAGTCATATTACAAACGGATGTAATTCAGTCTAAAACTGTCAACACGAATTAGCGCGGTTACCGTCAAATCTCATAGTATTTTAAATCACCTACCCCAATTGACTTTTAACTCTGAGCCATCCCTGTTGTAAAAAATACATTTTTAATATTCTTTTTAAATTAGATTTATATGTTTCGGTGTAGCTAAATCGAATAAAAATTACACAGTAATTATTTCCTATGAAATTGCATTTATGTTACGACTATATTTATTTTTAATAGTTTATGATATCGAGTTTTCTAGCAAACCGGTAACGGCTATTGTGATTTTTGCGGACACCAGGTACGTTTATTTTTTTTATTTTTTTGTTTACTTTGTAGCCGTTTCAAAGTTTAACTTTAATTATAAGTGTTGTTGATTCCTCTTTGCGTGATAAAAATCTGTATTTTTATGCCTGTCGTGAAAGTAAGAAAAAACATAAAAATTCACTTTTAAAATTCTTTATGAATATTTTTCGACAAGATATACAATTTTCGGTGTAGTTACGAATTTTTACCTTCTTTCTCTCTTCAACAATAGGATTCTATAGTAAGAGGACGTGTCTCGTTTCCCGTCCTAAGTCTACTTTGCACAACACA